CAGGGCCGGCTCCAGGCACGAGCCTGGCAAGCAGGTGCTTGGGGCGGCCGCTCCAGAGAGGGGCGGCACATCCAGGTATTTGGTGGCAATTCGGTTGGACGGTCCCTCATTCCCACTCAGAGCGAAGGACCTCCCGCCGAATTGCCTCCTGCAGATCGCGATCATGGTCTTTTTTTTTTTTTTTTTTGGCTGCTTGGGCGGCCAAAACCCTGGAGCCGGCACTGGCTGGAGAGGTTATTGGAAGCTGATCTCCTTTGTAGGGGCCCAGGGTCTCTGAGATCATGAAACCAGCATTGCAACTGGACAGAAACTCTCATAATTGTAGGGCTAATTCCAGTAGCTTTTGGGCAACATTTTAAAACACTTACACTTTAAGACAGAAAAATCTGACTCTGCCTTCGCAAGCTGCTTGTTTCATATGATGTCAGTTTTGTTTTCACATGATAGCTACCACCAGTGTTATCCAAAATGGTGCCCACTGTCTTATAAAATGCATATTTGCAGGTTATAAATGGATCCAGGACCTGGCAACAGGATCAAGTACTTCCTACCTCTTTAGGCTGCCAGTTCAAATCCGGCCTGTGGTGCTGGCTAAAGCTGTTATCATCTAGTCACCAATGTGGGCTGTAGAGAGTTGTCTCAGCTGTCAGTCCAGCGCCATTTGCATGCATTAAAAGCAGCTTTTAACAGTGTATTCTCAGTGAGAAGAGCTTCTAGCAACAAGGTGCTTTTTGTCTCTTTGAAATAGCAGTGCTGAGCTGAGCAAAATGCTGGCCTGAAGAAGAGCTCTATGGAGCTCAAAAGCTTGTCTCTTTCACCAGCAGAAGTTGGTCCAGTAAAAGATATGGCCTCACCCACCTTGTCTCTCTCAAAATGGGTACAGACCTTTTGAGGCTGGAGTTCTCTCCCATTTCCCATCTTTTGGCATCCCTTCCTCTATCTTGCCATCCATGCCTTGTCCCTGCCCCAGAATCTTTTGTCCTTTCCTGTGTGCTTCATGGGACCCAACAGCACAGATGGAGCTTCAAAGGAGGCTCTGCAGTAGTTGGCAAAGCTGCTTATAAGGAATCCAGAACTGAGGAGGACCTGGCTGGGAGGGACTGAATACATCTCTTTTAATGGATGGTGAGAGACGAGGAATGAAAACGTAATTATGATTCACCTAATCCCCTGGCCAACTACTGATACCCTCATGGGAGCTGTATGCTATAGAGTGAGAGCAGATGCTTCATGGGGCTGCTAGAGGAGCATAAGTGTGATATGACTATAGGACTCCTGCCCTTAGATCTAGACAACTGGTGCGTGGACAGGAGTTTATAAAAGTGGCTAGAGATCGCTTGGCTTGTTGCTTACCTGTCTCTTTTGGATTGGCTGAGAGTTGGTGATTACCTCTTCATACCACATGGGGATAGGAGGAGAGAGGCTGAACTGAGAGACTTACACTTCTTGTTGTTGCTATATTGTTCCTGAGTTGTTGGGCATCTAATCATGTGGAGGAAAGGCAGGGCAGCTGTATTGTGTGGTGTGGCAGCCACGTGACGGCTTGGCCCCTGAGGGCTGAAATGATAGACACAGTTGTACTTGTTCTTAGCTGTCAAAACAAAAACAAATTTATGAAACCTCCTGAGCAGGCTCTGGGGATGGCAGCCCCGATAGACATGTGCTGGATGGTTTCATTTAATTCCTCTCATTTTGGGAGAAGGCGGTGGGGTGGGAACCTCACCCGTGCCCTTTTAAAAATCTCAGAAATGTGCTGGATAAAGCAGATCGTGACCAACCAGTTCCTGTTATAAATATGATTTTGTTCACATTTCCCCCCTTTAAAAAAAGAGAGCATTTCTCTTCTTCTCATTTCTCTCTCCCTCCCCCCACAAACACAGC